GTTGCTCAGCAGTTGAAAGTAATTGTATAGTAAAAACATAAAAGAACTGCCTTAAGTATATATTTAATAATTATGCCTAGTGCTCTATATATCTTGTTTGAACCAAGATTTGTGTAGTATCTTAGGCCGCTCCTTAAAATATATATTTTGAATAACAATGAAAAATCTCCCCTTTTTCCTTTTCTTTTACTTTGCCTTCTCCCCTGTGACTTAGCTTTTCTTTCCGGTCTGCCCTCCTTCTGCTTGCTTTTCACCTCGAGGTCTTTTAATAATGTTGCCGTTGTTTGAATACAATCTCCCTGACTCCTTCTTGCGTCCTTCTCGGTATGTCCGCCCGACCATCCGACCATATTCAAACAGTCGCTCTGTTGATCACGCCATCTTCCTCACTGCCTCCTCATCGCCTCCCACCTCCTCAGTTCATTCGCGCGCTCCCTTTACTGCGTGACGTGGAATGCGTGCCTCCTCACAGCATCACTCCATCCCCCCAGAGTTAGATAATCTACTAGTTGAGGAAATAGCTAAAATGTCAATAAAGGGGGACTTTATCATCATGAGTGACTTCACTTTAATCTTCCTGATGTAAACTGGTAGACCAAAATCGCTGCTTGTGCCAGGAGCATACATATTCTAAACTTCCTACTGGGATTGTCTCTAAAAAAGTTGTTGAGGAGCCAACTCGTAAAGAGGCCATGCTAGATTTAATGTTAACAAATGAAGATTTGGTATCATATTACTGTAGATGAAAGTTTAGGCTCCAGTGATCAGTCAGTCAGTGTGGTTTAAGAACAGTGACTGAGTCACACCACACAAAAGCAAAGGTTTTAGACTTTAGAAACAGACTTTTCTAGAATTAGAATATGTTTGAAGGAGTCGTTATCATACTGTAGTAGTTTAAATGGAGTCCAAGAGAAATGGGATTATTTAAAAGTTGCACTGCTAAAGGCAACAAAAAATTGCATTAGGCTTGTCGGTAAAAGCAAAAAATTCAAGAGACCACTGTTGTACTCTGCAAATGCGGCCCAAAAAGTTAGCATTTAGTAATTATAAAAAAAACCCAAAAAAAAACGAGAGTGATGAAGATTGACAGATCTATAAGTTTAGGCAGAAAGAGGCTAATCAAGTTAGAAGAGCTTCCAAATCACACACCAAAGAGTAAATAGCACAGTCAGTAAAAAGAAAAGGGGACAAAACATTTTTAGATACATAAATGAGAAAAGGAAAGTAAATCAAGGATTAGTTACATTAAAAACAAAAGAAGGAAGGTATGTTGTAGCGGAGAGCTGGTATTACACAGCCTATCTCCACTTTGGATCCCAGGGAGGCTCAGGAACAAGCAATTATAAATCCATAGGGCAAAGTATCCAGCAGGCAAAATAACACAGCAGTATCCCCACAGCACTCCCAATAACTGGACGACACACAGTATCAGGAGCAGAACTAAAGATTTATTCAGACAGTGGCCTTATAAAGCATACTCCCATGCAAGGGAGGGATTTTCATTCATTAGTACAGTAGCCAATCCTGTTCTAGTAACCTCCCACACATATCCTCCCCTCAGCCTGCATCATAATCCCCTTATCCAGGACACCAATTCCCCCCGTTTCTGGATGTACCCCTAAACCTAGGGGTACCACTTTAAATTATACACCTCCAGGTAGCCCTGATCTGGGTGAACAACATATCCAAAAATCACCCAGATCAGAACAGGGGTTCGGGAAATTTATGGAGGGAATAAAATGACCGACCGCGCTGGAAAGAGTAGCCGAATTGGGTTCCATGCGATGGGGCCCTGCAGTCGGTCCTGGAATAAGGGAATAGTTTACACGAAAGCCTCCAGTTACGGAGACTGGGGAGGGTTCGCCTGAATCCCCTCGTTCGGTTGTTTCTATCTACCGAACAAGGGGCCGTTCGGTAGTTTGGAACCTAACAGACCGTGCTTGTGGAGGTCTCAGCGGTGTTCGCCTAGTCGAGTGTCTGATTTGAGTTCCCGACACTCGACGGCAAAACACTGCTGTTCGGGAGTTTTAAAATGGCCGCCGTCACGTGTTCCCGAATGGCGGCCACCCCCGAGAACAAAAGACTGCTACTCAGCTTGTCAATTACCCGTTCGCAACAATGTTGCAACGGGTAATTGAAGGCACACTTCACACCGGGGAGGTCTGACTGTTCGGTAGTTTCATTCCCTTATTTGTTGGAATGATTCTACCGAACAATCAGACGAATACAATACATTTAACACATATAACTTTGCCATTTACACAAATGCAGTTAAAACTTATGTAATTCTCAGGACAGCCCAGTGCCATCCGCTACATATGTAGAAGAGGATAAAGGTCTAGCTGACTGCCTCAATTAATATTGTTGTCCAGTATTTACAGATAAAAATGAAGGAAATGGACCTCAGTTAAGAAAAAGGACAAATGAGTCATTTATTACAGGTGAGTTTACAGAGGAAGAGGTTCTATTTCAACTGTCAAAAGTAAAGACAAAGAAGTCAGTGGGACCTGATGGAATGCACCCAAAGTTATTAAAAGATCTTAGTGGTGTACTAGCAAAACCATTAACAGATTTATTTAACCAATCATTGTTAACAGGAGTAGTCCCAGAAGATTGGAAGTTAGCGAATGTTGTGCCCATTCACAAGAATGGTAGTAGGGAGGAGTTGGGCAACTATAGGCCAGTAAGCCTTACTTCAGTAGTGGGGAAAGTAATGGAAACCATGTTAAATGATAGGATTGTTGAACATCTAAAATCACATGGATTTCAAGATCAGAGACAACATGGGTTTACTTCAGGGAGATCATGCCAAACTAATCTTATTGATTTTTTTTGATTGGGTAACTAATATAATAGATAATGGTGGTGCAGTAGACATTGCTTACCTAGATTTCAGTAAGGCGTTTGACACTGTTGCACATAGAAGGCTTATCAATAAACTGCAATCTTTAAGTTTGGATTCCAATATTGTTGAATATGTAAGGCAGTGGCTGAGTGACAGGCAACAAAGGTTTGTTGTCAATGGAGTATATTCGAAGCATGGTCTTGTCACCAGTAGGATACCTCAGGGATCCGTACTTGGACCCATTCTTTTTAATATTTTTTAAGGTCTTGATGGTAAGGTATTTCTTTTTGCCGATGATACAAAGATATGTAACAGGGTTGATGTTCCAGGAGGGATAAGCCAAATGGCAAATGATTTAGGTAAACTAGAAAAATGGTCAGTTGTGGCAGCTGACATTTAATGTGGATAAGTGCAAGATAATGCATCTTGGACATAAAAACCCAAGGGCAGAGTACAGAATATTTGATAGAGTCCTAACTGCAACATCTGAGGAAAGGGATCTAGGGGTGATTATTTCTGATGACTTAAAGGTAGGCAGACAATGTAATAGAGCAGCAGGAAATGTTAGCAGAATGCTTGGTTGTATAGGGAGAGGTATTAGCAGTAGAAAGAGGGAAGTGCTCAAGCCATTGTACAGAACAGTGGTGAGACCTCAATTGGAGTATTGTATGCAGTACTGGAGACCGTATCTCCAGGATATTGATACTTTGGAGAGAGTTCACAGAAGGGCTACTAAACTGGTTCATGGATTGCAGGATAAAACTTACCAGGAAAGGTTAAGGGAACTTAACATGTATAGCTTGGAGGAAAGACGAGACAGGGGGGATACGATAGAAACATTTAAAGGACCACTATAGTGCCAGGAAAACAAACTCGTTTTCCTGGCACTATAGGGTCTTTAGGTCCCCACCACCCTCAGGTCCCACTCCCGCTGGGCTGAAGGGGTTAAACATTTACCTTTCTCAAGTGCTGGGGAACTCTCCTCCCTCTGCCGGCGTCAGAGCTGAATGCGCATGCGCGGCAAGAGCCGCACTCGCATTCAAACAGTCCATAGGGAAGCATTTCTCAAAGCTTTCCTATGGACGTCCAGCGTCTTCTCACTGTGATTTTCACAGTCACATTCTATGTTTCTTATCTGCTGTCACATTATATGTTTCTATGCTTCTGAAAAGCTTGAATTGTATTCGTATGTTGACAATTGATCAGAGTCAAATCAATGTTTACAATTAAACCTAAGGTTTAATTGTTGACTCATATTTGTCTAAAACTCATAATGAGTTTGACCTCATGTTGTCTAACTCGGAGCCCGGAACGTGGGAATGGATGTGATTGGTACTTTCTAAAAGTATTTTCTATGAGAAGCTGCTTTCTCACTATAAAGGATGTATTGCAAAGGCACAAACAGAATGCACTGATCTGATAATTAGTTAATTATTTAAAGGAGTGGAACCAGATTGCTCTCTGACCACCTACACCAGTTTCCCCCATCCACAGAGTCCCTTTTAAAAAATTATAAGACTAACCTCCGCCATATATAAAACCATCCAACATGTATTAATACATATGGCACAGAGAAAACAACTGGTAGAGAAAAGTGGGTGACTGCCTATGAAGCTAGATCCTTTGTGCTGGGCGCTTGGATTCCCCGTGCGGAGACCCTGGATACTCTGTGCTGGGCCCATGGATTTCCAATGCCGAGACCCTGGATTCCCTGTGCCGTGACCCTGGATTCCACGTGCCGAGACCCTGGATTCCCCGTGCCGAGACCCTGGATTCCATGTGTTGGGTGCCTGAATTTCCTTAGCTGGGCCCTGGATCCTCTGTGCAGGGCCCCTGTATTCCATTTTGGGCTCCTGTATACCCTGTTTTGGGTTCCTGGCTTCCTTGTGCTGGTGCCCTAGATTAATCCATAGAAGAAGGGCTAACAGAACATCTGCAGTGCACTGTGCAGGGACTGCATCATACTTACTACCTCTACTAAAAACACAGTGACAGCCTCAGCCACCAGCGCCTTCTATGTCATTCTGAGGATGTGTATGGAAACATGCTATTGATGGGTATGAGGTGCTGCAGGTATGTCCTCCCCTGACAATCTGGCTCTGATGGAACAGGACAACACAGGATAACCACATAAAATAGTTTTAATTTGCTAGCAAGCCAAAATAATGTAATAAACATAAATAATATGAAACAGTCATATCAAATATTCTTAAACACATAAACCATCTCATACGCTTGTAATGAAATAACGAAAATGCCACGGAGAAGCTTGAACCAACGTAACAGAGATTTCGCTACATCCCATACTGCGCACAAAGGAATGAATTATACAGACATATATGGTCACCGCAAACGTTTCACCTATGGTTTCCACTTTCAGAATCTGTTCTTTTCTTGGCAATCTCAACAAAGGATGGATAGGAAAGCAAACTTCACTTCCTTTCTCAATTAACAAAGAGCGAAGCTTGCCTTAAAACGCACCCTTTGTCAGGTGTAGGAAAAGTAAAACATAAGACAAAGTAGAGACTATATAGTAGGGACTTCTTTGTCGAACGTGAAGAGAAATAGCTCAGAAATTAAGAAAAGAAGAACAAATTCTGAAAGAGAAGAGGAAACAATAGGAGAAAGGTAAGTTTGAGGAGAAAGACATTTTAACTGGATTATATGTATAGAAAACACAAAAACTATCCAAAAAAGAGAATTTGGCATGATGATGCCTGTGCTTCAAAACACGCAACATTATATGCATACAGGATAAGCAATAAAGTGTAAATTAACGAGAATTCAAACTAAAAGCAGAGCTATTGGGAGAATTTTTCAATTTCAACTATTGTGCCTGAAATGTAAACTGAATGAATATTAAATCCCTTTGAATTTCGGGCAATTCCCACTGTATTAAGAACCTGCGTCAGACGTGGTAATAGGGGCGAGGGGGGTCTCTCTCACTCGGTGACTGGCGGAGTGAAAAAAATTACAGCCTTGAAAACGGACGCAGAATTAGCTCTTTCGTCGGTAAGAATTTAATTCTCAATAAAAAATAGAATAAATAATAACCAAAATGATTACATAATTAATATAAACAAATACATTAAACTATTTGTAGAAAATAAATACTGAAAGCGTCATACATTTCATTGCATCAAGTGATTTACTATGATCATAGAGCAATGTGATTATCATACATGAAAAACTCTCTAAAAAACCCCTGTTCACACCCGTAACTCTTCATATGAGTCAAGGGAACATCACTCACCTGCCATACCTACATGTATACCTACCTACATACATAAAAAAACACACATACCTACATACATACACATGCCTACATATATACCTTCGTACATACATACACACATACCTACCTACATACATATTTACCTAAGAACATGCATACACACACACACACACACATTAAATATATATATAGACACACACACACACACACACACCTACCTACATATATGTATACATACACATATGAATACCTACCTAAGTACACACACACACACACCTATCTACCTACACGCACACACATACTTACCTAAATACATATACATACATCTACCTACATAGACATATACCTATCTACATACATGCACACGTACCTACCTAAATACTTGCATACATAGGAACATTCAGCTATGCACAAGCCTAATATTTTATAGGCATTTAAAATTATTTTAGAATAATTAATTCTAACAATAATCAATCTATTTACAAACTATCTGCATTGTAAACAACAGTAATTATATAGAAATTTTTACACAGAGGAAAAATACATAAATAAAAAAAATCTGCATAGTTAAAATCTTATGTGGGTTTATTTATTTATATTTTTTTAAACCTGGTACCTTTTAACTTTTAGTGCCGTTGTGGTGAGCATAACCTTCATGACACTGTGCACTTGGCGTATTCCAATGAATATACAAACCGTGGTTATGTGTGCTTACTATCGAGGTGGCGATCGAAGTGACTTTCTGTGCGCATCACAAATTAGCCAACTTTATAGAGGGTTCCTTTAACAAACTATAACCCTTTCAGTACCTGTTTAAAGTGAAAATCAGGCTTTGAAAGAGTTTTAAAAATGCATTGTTTTCATAAAATTTCAGTATTGCGTCTACTGAAAAATTCATTAAAAAAAAGGTAGGAACAAAAAGCCTTCAAATTTTGGGTAACAATGTTTTTTTCAGGCACATTCAGCTCCTCTCAAAACTCTGATCAGTAAGACACAATTAGAACATTTTAACCGTGACATTTTGTATAAATGTATAATATGACAGTCCTCCTGGTCAATGAGGCAACTGGCGCAGGACTCCCAGCCAACACCTCCCTAAAAGGACTATAATCACTGAGGTGTCCCCTTCCCTGCTGTTCCTTTCCACTTTGTGGAGCTGAATCGACCAACCGGGAGACCATCAGGGACTAGTAAGATGCCCAGAAATTGTATGGAACTGTGTATCGGATTGCGAGTTGCCGCAATCTGGTAAAACATCACCTGGGTAGCGCTTGGTCCCAGGGCCATTTGGAAGAGAGATCAGGGAGGTGACGAGGCATCAGAGGGCACCAAGGACTAGAGGGAGCTCCTTGTCCCTGAGCCATAAGAAGCTATTCTTTATGACCGGGTCTTTCCACTCAGTGGCCTGGAACTCAGCGCTGCATCGGAGAGTAGTAGTGGCCGGGTCAAACCTTCTCTCAAGATTGTTCGGGCCAGACACCTCCAATCCAGGTGCTTTTTGGACTGGTTAACCCTTTCCACAAAAGCTCTTTAGGAACATATAATGTTTGGGGATATTTCAAGAGGAAGAGTATTATTTCGGGGATACCGTTGTAAGGCGCCCTGGTGTCTGACAGTTAATTCAATTATATAGTTATGATTGAGTTATGTCCCAGACATCAAGGCGTCAGGGTGGGGAATGCATTGTCACTATGCTTACCCCATGCTGGGGACAGCTGTATATAAAGCCAACTTGTCACCAATTAAACTTGTATCTCTTATACCCTACATCAAACCTCGCCTGATGATTGGTGACACTGCTATAATCACTCTGGTTCTCCTACGTTAGGAAAAAGGAATACTTGGCAGGGATACTCAGGCTGAGTAGAGGAGTTCCGACACATACGGTTCATCCGATTACGATATAATAAGGGAGAATATGGGAAAATCATTACACCCGTTACTGGTTAAGAGGGGCAGGCAGTTCATTCACTAGATACATCTACATGAAATAAGGTTTAAATAGAAAAGAAAGGTATATAAACTAATAAGTGCATTACGTCTCCCAGACCGGGTGAATTGTTGACCTGGGCTGGAAGAGATCAGATTGTAAGGATGCCGCATGCCACAACAAGCCACATGGCAGCGTTTTTAATTTGGCCAGCGTATGCCATGTGAAGGGGTTCTTCCATTTGCCCAGAGCATGCCACATGACAGGCTTTTTTCCATTTGGCAGGGTGTCCGTCCATTTGGCCAGAGGAAGCCACGTGGCAGGGTTTTTTCATTTGGTCGGAGCATGTTACATGGCAGGGTTCTTCCATTTGGCCAGTGCATGCCAAGTGGCATTTTACACCCCCCCCCCCACCATTTGATGAGATCACACCACGTGGCAGTATATACGTGGGCCTCCTATCTGTTCTGATGACAAGATAACAAATCTTGTTGCTCACGGAGTCTTACATAATGATTGATTGAACATGTCGGTGCTTGAATTAGCCCTTACAGGATATTGTCTGTAGGAAATCCCCATAGCACCATATTGCAGAAGGAAAGGACCACGCAGAGCCCAGAAACAGTGCTTATTAGACTCAAGACTGGGGATCTGATGTGAGAATTTCGTTCTCGATTTCTTGTCTAGAATCTCTGTTCGAGTGGCCATTCCCAGCATGCTCTGCTTTGTTTAAGCAGCTTGGTGGGGATACAGGAGGCGGTTTATAAAGCATCAACGCAAGTAGAAAAAACACCAGTCCCAGAACCTGTAACACAAAGAACATGCTTGGTTAGGAAACGCGGCTCGTATTAAAATAGGGCTTCTCATTAAAGTAACGGAAGGATAATACGAACAATGCAAATCTAGTATAACACAGAGATCACTGCGTGAACAATTATTCATCAAAAACATCTCGCTACTTATTGTGCAGAGAATACAAAATCGATTTTAAATTAGTTATTGATAACAAAATAATATTAGAACTAGCCTGTTATAACATAATATCAGAACTAGCCTGTTATAACATAATATCAGAACTAGCCTGTTATAACATAATATCAGAACTAGTCTGTTATATAACAATATCAGATCTAGTCTGTTATAAAACATAATATCAGAACTAGTCTGTTAAATAACACAATATCAGATCTAGTCTGTTATAAAACATAATATCAGAACTAGACTGTAATAACCTTTATTATTGCAGAGTTCTGATGTCTTTATTTAATGTAAAGATATATATGTAACCAGGGGGCTGCACTTACCTGAACATGCATAAATGGAGTGCTGCTTGGGGCCAATTCATACAATACACAAGATCCAGCGCACTTACTTATCCACTAAACAGCAACTTCAATCCATCTGGGGCTCACTGCACTACAAGGCTAAATAGGCCCTGGGATGAGGCACCTGTGACAGTGATGGATGCAAACCCAATGAGTTGGCTAGACTCCCTGCCTAGATTAGGTGTTTTTTAAAAAAAAAACGAATAAAATCTGTAAACATTAAAGTTGCTGTTTAGTGGATATGTGAATGCACTGGATCCTGTGTATTATGTGTATATCAGGCCAGGACTGGCCATCGGGCATACCGGGCAAACGCGATGGCCGCGGGCCGAGGCCGGCAGGGGAGATCACAGGATCCGAGCGCCGGCCCTGCTGTGTGCCTCCATGGGCCGGCGGGGAGATCAAAGATCTCCCTCAGCGGCCCAGAAGCACTGAGATGCGGCCGCCAGCTGGTGAGTGAGGGAGGGAGGAGAGGACTGGCTGAGCTCTAGCCAGCAGCTCCGCGGGGTCCTCTGGCGGGTTTTTAGCGTTGCCGAGTCCACTCTCACCACTGGACCACCAGGGAAGGAAGCACCCTCCATGGCACCACGGCACCCCCCCATGGAAACCCGGCTTCCCACCCCCTCCTAGGCTAAAGGTAAGAAGGTAATGGGGAGTTTTTAGTTTTTTTAAAATAAAAAAATCAAATCATATTTATACAAACAAGTGCTATACACACACACACACACACAGCTCCCTCAGACACACACACACACACACACACACAAACACAGCACCCTCAGACACTCACAAACACACAGCAGACACACACACACCACCCTCAGACACACACACACATCACACATACATATGTATAATATATAAAATAACCCTCAGTAAGTTAACAGACAAAAAAAAATTGAAACATAGAATGTGACAGTAGATAAGAACACCCTCACACACACAGCACCCCTCTTACACACACACTGCATTTCTCACACACATGCTGCACCCTTCACACATACACACAGCACACACAACACACTGCACCCTTCACACATACTTCCAAATATATATATATATGTGTGTATATATATATATATATAAAAATATATGTATGTGTTTGGACGTATTGTATGTGTGAAGGGCGCAGTGTGTATGTGTGAAGAGTGCAGCATGCATAATATTCTTATTATTATTGCCATTTATATAGCGCCAACAGATTCCGTAGCGCTTTACAATATTATATATTACAGCACTACTACACACATTACGCTCCAGATACATGCTAGATCCCTTACCCTATTTACACTCTGAATCCTCTATACACACACACACACACACACACAATCTCCTATACACACTCTGGGTCCTTTACACACAAGATCCCCTACACACACTGCACCACCTACACACACTACATTCCTGACATACAAACTCTGGATCCCCTATGCACACACTACATTCTCTAAACACACACTCTCTACAACCCCTACACTCACTACATCCCCTATACACACTATGCCCCCTATAAACACTCGCTACAGCCCCTAACCACACATATTACACCACAAACACGAATTAAATTGACCTATTTACACAATACCACACCACAATCAGCTTACTCAACACACATGCAATCCCACAAGCAGGCTCCAAACACATGCACCATATGCTTTTCTGGCCTTTTTGTCCTCTGGTATCCCACTTATGGAGACACCAGAGACAAGTTAAAAGCAAACACAGCGCAAGCATGTTATTAAATGTGCTTGCGCTGCGTAGAACAAATACACTTTTTCCCATGCTAGAGCTCTTCAGCAGGGCTCTGCGCATTGAACTAACATGCTCACTTTGAGAGGGGGCGTGCTTGTCATTAGTGATGACAAAACACACCCTCTCTGGCCCCGCCTCTTTCTCAGGGGGCCGATGTGATTGAAAAATGCCCGGGCCGAATTTTTTTCCCAGTCCGACCCGGTGTATATATATATATATTTTATTTTGGAGGGTTTGTTACCTTGTAAACAAGCCCTGCAGTCAGGGTGTATCTGCTCATAGCAGAATTCTGGTAAATATAGCAGGACCCGGGTTCGCCATCTTGGTTCTGCCATATGAGGCATGAGATATCAATCACTGATCCAAAGGCGATGGGCCCGGGGATTCCACCTGGAAACACAGACAATTCACGAGTGAGTATGAATGGGAGACAGCAGAGTCATTTGTATCCTATGTTTTAGATTGTACACACAGTGAATTAGTGATCACATAGGAAAAGTGACAACTAGCACATTACACAGTGCCGCAGGGTACAGCACCGCACACCGGGTATCTACCTGGCTATATATTCCCTCTTGGTCTGCCATGCAATATGCCATATCTAATGCTACTGCTCTACCTTGGAAAGCTGTAATGCAAGAGAAATGTTTTACACAAACAGTGCTGGCTGTGCCATTGTGTCCTTGATTTAATAGAAGAGCTAATAATATGGGGAGGGTGTAATAATGACAGAGTGAAATGGAAGGGCTGAAAACAATTTTAAAAATTAAAAAAAATACTGATCAGTCTAAGTGATCATTTGAAAAGACTAACAGGGTTATTCAGTAAATTCCAGATTTTGTCTGAATGGTCAAAATTCTATGAACATGGCGGAATTCAGAACGGAATTGTAATTCTCAGATTTAGTAAAGCAAATTTTAGTCAGAATTTGGTAGAGTTGAGTGACACTGCATCATTCGGTCAGACGCATTCGGTGTCCTGTTTTAAATCAGTACTTTTTGCATTTGAACCTGGATACAAACTTATGATTCAGAATATGTAAAAAGCACTGGTTTTAAACTGAAAAGCAACCAAATGCATCCAAAAGGAAACACATTCACAAGTTATTGTTAACATGGTGCCGGAAAACGGGGGGGACCTGGAACAGGTTGGGGCTTTAAATTAAATTATGGGGGTGGACAATTAATTGCCATGATATTTAAAACAATTTAATAGTCTCTTCTCTGCCCACACCCATAGTTGGTGGGTAGGGGCTACTAACTAAAATAAACAGGTGGGAACCTAATGCCTCCTCCCCCTACTTATCGCCTATGGTTAGGGGCCAATAATTTGATATTAAAAATGTGGAGGGGACCAAATATCCCCACAGTCCCACCCATGCATGGCAGGTGGGCTACGAATAAAATATATGAGGAAGGAGTTGGAAATACCATTGTCCATTCCTAAAAAAACAACTAAAAAAACTGTGGCCACTGTCACAAGCATGTAGCTCCACCAATAAAAAATGATTGCCTACCCCCCTAATAATGTTGATGGCACAAGAAATCTAAGAACCTCTAAAAAAGTTATACTTACTATCAGATGTCTTATTTCTTCTTAAATCTTTTTTTATTCAGCCCCACAAAAGGCCAAGCAAAAAAACCCATTAATTCCGGAACCTGATTTGCAAAAACACGACAATACAAAAAAACGTTTCGCAAGAAAAATAAATCCATGTGCACCCTGCAAGTTCTTTGCACATGGAAAACCCTTTCAGAAACCCTTTATCCGACACTTTGAAATCTCAACAGAACACTGATTGGTTGGCTTGTAAACGAACCAATCAGAATACTCTGACAGGCAAGTCTCAGCTTGTCAATTCCTGTTCCGTTCTGCGCAGATGTCTGGCCTTGGCTTCTGGTATCCAGTACTCTTTTTACAATTCTTGTTTAGTTTTTCTTGGTTTTTCTATTCTATGTCTGGTTTTCTTTATGCTGGGTATTCGGGGTTCATTCCTTAATTCCGTTCCTGGAATTCTCCTGGATTCCTTTAAATGTTTGTTTTTGTTGCCACGCCCATTCCTTTGCCATTAATCCTTTTTGTTTCAGTCTGTTCCTGCAAGCAGTAGTCTCATTTCCTGCTCCTTTCTTTGCAGGTAAGTACTGTCTGTGTTTTATTATTGTACTTTTAGTCATGCATATCTAGGCAGTGAGGACCCACCGTAATTGGAGTACTTTGGCGCAGTGGTGGGCTGCATACATCTTATGTATGTCTAAATCTCCAATGTTTATTGCATATATAGTACTTAGTTATGTCTCCTTGTTTTGCCTTGTGTCTCTTGTCTTGTTTTATTGGTCTTGTATTCCCAGTTCATGTACAGTCCTGTCCTGTCCATGTTTCCCTCTTGTATTGTGTACATGTTCTGGGTTCTGCTTTCTGTCCTGGGTTCTCCTAGTCTTGTCTTATCTTGTTTGGTGCCTATTCTAGTCTTATTTTCTAGTACTGGATACTTATCTGCTTAATATAAGCTCCTGGCATCTGCTAAGCTGCATCAGGGCTATGTGGCCACACAAACCCTGGTGCTTGACACCAAGGGGCGTGTGGTTACCCTGCAGCAGACCCTGATTGTCCATTTCCACATTGAGACTCCTATCATCATCATCAGGCATACAGTTGTCCTGGTCTTCGGACCACCACCCGTGACACATCTCGCATGAGCCATGGGAAGTTTTAAAGTTTTAAGAATTTTGGCTCAAAACAATTCCAGACTGTAGCAGCTTTTGGTCAGGACCAAATTTAGGCTCATTAGAAGCCTGATCAGCAAAACCTGGCCATTGTTAGTTTTTGTGAACAGTTCCTGGATTTTGTAGTCCGAATGGTCCTAGCCAGCAGCTAATGGTTTTCTGATTCTGAACGCAGCCATTCGGACTACAGTGACTAAGTCTGTACGTGTTGGAGTTGGAGTGTTAGAGAGAAGTGAAACCACGATGTTAGGCATGTAAACACAGCATGATAGATTGGATTGAACATTTAAAGCCTCTGGGAACTCTGCAGGAAATACATAAGTCACATCAGCAAATACATCATGATCCATTACCTAGGGTTCGCACTACAATCCACTGGATCCCCAGAGCGAAGGAGCGCTGATTGTCAGACACACACCTGCAACACAATGCAACTGAATTGTGCAAAGGACACACACTAATAGCAAAGTACACTTGACACACACTACCTAGCAAAGCCTTACACTACTACAGACACACACTAATAGCAAAGCCATACACTACTACCAGACACACACTGCAAAGCACTAAGTCATACTACTACCAGACACACACTAATAGCTATAGCTAACAGCCTATACACTACCAGACACACACTAACAGCAAAGCCATACATTACTACCAGACACACACTAATAGCAAAGCCATACACTACTACCAGACACACACTAACAGCAAAGCTATACACTACCAGACACACACTAACAGCAAAGCCATACATTACTACCAGACACACACTAATAGCAAAGCCATACACTACTACCAGACACACACTAACAGCAAAGCTATACACTACCAGACACACACTAACAGCAAAGCCATACATTACTACCAGACACACACTAATAGCAAAGCCATACACTACTACCAGACACACACTAACAGCAAAGCTATACACTACCAGACACACACTAACAGCAAAACTATACACTACTACCAGACACACACTAACAACAAATCCTTACACTACTACCAGACACACACTAACTGCAAAGTCATACACTACTAGCAGTCACACACTAACTGCAAATCCTATTTCTATTTCAAAGAAGCTTTGTTTGTGCCATTGAGACAATTACATCAGGATAAAAAGGTAAATAAGTAACGCAAGAGACGCGCAGGTCTCTCATATAAACATACAACAGTGTTAACAAGCTCAATACAGTCGAGTGACTTTGTTATCTCTTCCTTTTCCTCTTCATTAAGCCACAAGTGGATACATGACTCTTGACCATATGTGTGATATCATGAGTAAGACGCGCAGGTCTCAGTACTAAACGGTTGCATCACAGCCTCGCAGGGCTCTGCGATTAAGATATAACACAATTCAGGCATCGTCACTTAGTTAAGCAGTAGTTTGTGAACAGTCAGCTTTAAAGGTTTTGTGTTAGAGGAGGTGTATGGTACCTTGAAGTACAGTAGAACGGCTAGGGTGGGATAGGTAAAATAGAAGGATGGGGGGAGCTATATATCGGTTGTAATATACATTGTGGGGTCATCTTACTGGTGTGAGTGTCTTTGTGAGGGTTATTGCATTATATCATCACAGGCATGTGACCCTTAAGTTTCAGGTACTTTCTAGGAAGAGTGATTCACTTACAATTGGGGCCTGCTTACTCTGTTGCTTGGTTTGTTGATTCTTCTTAGTTTGTTATCTCCTGTGAATAGGTATGTATGAGGGAATGGTGGTGTATCTTTTTACCCCCCGACATCACCAGTGAATGTGACAGTATTTTTGTGCTGGTAGGGGACTCGCAAGTAGGTTACAAGCAGACAACCATGTCATTTAGAGTGGTGGGCATGTTGGAAACTTCCAGCCCCCGAGAGGCCATTAAAGGGACCCCATTGGAACGGTATAGATCATATAGAGTTAGTGCTCTATGCCTTTAAGTGTGCGGAGTAGCCGTCGGTTGCTGTATCTGTGAGAGGCTCCTCTAGATGCCCATCTGTCTGGATGGGGGGGCATGTGAATGGCTGTACAGAGTTCAGGACAGAGGGTTAGGCTGAAGTAAGGAAGGAGAGAGCAGATTGAGGAGGGCAGGAGGCCAGGAGCCAGTCCACCTGCCTGTATCTCCCCGTCTCTAAGGGTGTTCTCTATTGTGGTGGTATATCAGAGGTGTCCCGCTAACGGGGTATGAGTTTCTGGGTCCCCCCCTATGACGGTGTGTGTCCCCCACACCCATCACCGGCCCCGTAAGCCAGCCACAGCCGCCATCTCTCCTCTCCTCAGTTCACATTAGCGATGCTTGCACCGACTCTGCCATGTATATCTCCTCTACCCTTTCTACCCATTGTTCCGTTTCTCGGGTCGTGTCTTGCTTCCAGTGTAATGGGATCAGGGCCTTGGAGGCATTCAGAAGAAGTCGGAGGATAGATATTCTGTAGGCCCCAATGATGGTTGGTGTGGAGTGCAGGAGGGCCGTTTCCATGTCAAAGCATCCTGTGTCGCCGAGGATTTAACCCGTTTTTCGGTTCACCACGTGTCATCATTCCCGGGCCCGCTCCGCATCTCCAACACACACGTCTGGGAAGGCATGTCTGGGAAAATTCTGTGTAGGCTATCGGGTATCCTGTATCAGAATGCCAAAAATTTTAAGTTGGCGTCCTGGTACTTGGAGCTCGAGGAGCATTTGTAGTGTAGAATCAGTATCTTTTCCCATTGGGCATCAGTGAATGATTTGGCAAGTATCCGTTCCCAGCAGCGCCGGAAAGTGTCCTTATTCTCGAGATGTCCTACAACGTGTTGGTTCAGGAGGGACACAGCCTTGTCTAGGTTGGTTTTGTTACCACCTTCTGTCAGTTCTTGTAAGGGTTTCAAACCCGCGCTGAGTAATATCCTGTGCATAGGGAGAGTGTCTCTCCCGCCGAGGAGGTCCCAGGTCTGTGGTGGTAGCCCCCCTCCTATCTTAGGATTGGCTTGTATCTGAATCAGTGGGCCTGGTTTTGGAGACAGATAGGAAGCCCCCTGATGTTATCCCAGGTCTTAAATGTGTGAGCCACTGCAGAAGTTGAATCTAGCGTTGTTGGTGCAGACTTTCCTGAGTTCCATACAGCCGGGAGAACTGATGGGTGCAAATGACCTTTGTCGAGTTCGATCCACTGTTTGTGCGTCGGGTGGTTATGCCATTCCAATATCCTCTGTAGAACGGTCGCATGGTGATATTTGCTCATATCATGGAGCGCCAGGCCATCCTAGGCCTGTGGCAGGCATAGTAGGTCGTGGCGGAGTCGAGCCTGGCTTCCATTCTATGCAAAGCGGACCATAGCGGAGCGTAAGGAGGAGAAAAGGGCCGTTGGTAGGGCAAGAGGAATTGTTTGGTAGAGGAATAATATTCTAGGTAGTATGTTCATCTTCAGTATTGCAATTGCCGAACCATAATATATAGGGGTAAGACCATTTCTTCAGGTCCTGTTGTATACTTTGGAGGAGGGGTAGGAAGTTCGCCTGGTATAATGCTCCCAGATCGGTGAGAACCGTTCCCAGGTATCGCATGTGGGATGTGCACCATCGGAATGGAAACTGGCGTTTCAAGGCTTCAGTTTCAGCCGCTGGCGAACGTCTTGGTATTGATTATTGTTAGGTACGTAGATTGTTGCAAAGGTGTATCTACGGTCTTGGACATCTCCTTTCAAGAAGAGGAACATGCCGTGTGGGTCCACCATTCTGTCTATTTCTTGAAATTGTAGTTTTGCTTCCAGGAGAGCTGTGGGTTGGTTACTGCAGGCAGCGTTGGGGTAGTGCCTGCTTTTCCGCAGTGGTGCTGATCCTTCCTTAAAGTGGGGTCTCCTGCAGGAAAGACGTAAAGCCCGCGTAAATTCCGCAACAGTTGTGTTTGATGTTCCGGTATGTTCAATCTCCTGCAGTTCAGGGTGAGGACCCGATACGGATCCGGTACATATGCCATGTGGGAGGCTAAATGGCGGTTCGTCAAAGCTGCTGGTATGTCTGCAGCTCCCGCGGCAGTGGTCAACGGGGCCAAGTGAGGGACCCCAGCAACGGAATCTGCTCGAGTGGCGGGTCCTGCGGTCTTGTGACCAGTCTTTAACTAATGGGACTCCCGGCAGATAGGGCTATAGAACGGGGTTGGGGGGGATGGTCTGAAGGAAAAAGAAAGGGGAGATGGAAGGAGTGTATTGAGAAGGGGAGCGTAAGAGAGAGCGAGAGAGATAATGGGTGGGGGGGTGCGTGGGTTAGGGAAGAAGGTCGGATCAGAAGAAAGATAGGTATTGGTCTCAGGGAAGAGATGGTAGCCTCGCCCTAGTACAGAGGACGAAATTCCCTCCGAGTAGTGGGAGAGTTAACGTGACCACGGTAGCAGTCGGCAATTGAACCTGCCAGAGCGCGTCCTACAGCGTACAGCCATCGACTCCAACTGCAAATCCTTACACTGCTACCAGACACACACAGACTACAAAGCCTTACACTACTAGCAGACACACATTAACTACACATCCTTACACTACTACCAGACACACATTAACTGAACAGCATTACATGTGTAGAAATACCTTAGTGTTGCTGTTAATGCAGGAATACTGCACAGGAATGTAAACAATATCACACAAAAAATAAACACTAGAAGTAGAGTCATTTTTTCACAGGAAGACGAGCATTTCCCAGCCACGGCCTGACCTCCAACAGAGGACACGTTCCATGCCACACAGCTGCAGTTCTGGTAAACCTGGAATAATAACTGGGATTAGGAATAATGACTGGGTGCTATTTACCCCATATAAACCCCTCCCCTGTACATTCTCACAGTCTAAGAGAATGACTGATCCCACCGGGTGCTGTTTACCCCATATAAACCCCTTCCCTGAACAGTTTAATAGAGTATAACTAACCCCCAACGGAAGCCATTTAACCCATAAAAACCCCTACCCCGTACAGTCCCAGTCTAATAGAGAATATATAACTGATCCCAGCAGGAGCTATATAACCGGTATAAACCCCTTCACCTAGTGATCTTGCAGTATAATAGAGAGTAACTGACCCACCGGGAGCTATATACCCCGTATAAACCCTGCACCAGTCTAATAGAGAATATACAATTGGTCCCACTGGGTGCTAAATACCCCTTCCCCCACGGGTCTAACAGTCTAATAGGGAATATATAATTGGTCCCACTGGGTGCTATAAACCATTTCCTCTACTGGTCTCACAGTCTAATAGGGAATAAAAATGGTATATGTCAGCTTGTTAATGAGAGAAGGGCAAATCTGAACATACAACATACTGATATTCCATGATGATGGGTCATACTCCGTTCTAATCTGCTGTGTATGAACGTTTATATATTTACGTGTGTGTACAAATATATGTTTATGAAGGCATTCCTCAGTATACGGAGGATCCAGGCACACAAGGAGTTAAAGTACCTCCATGCAAAACATCCTGTAACCTTAATAACATATAATAATTTTTATATTCATTAAAATTTATTAGTTTTCATGCCCCTGGTCCTCCAGACATACTCTTCTCAGTGCGATAATTCGTTTTACAATAAATCTATTTTTATAATTCATTCAATAAAGATTTCAAATAAAAAAAAAAATAAACAAGGTTACCTTTCTCCCGCTTGCAAGCTCTGTGTGTGTTCCAGAACATCCTGCGTAGCACGCCGAGTAATACATAACCTGGTCCTCTCCGCAGACTGGGCTGTACAGCTCTTCCACACAGCGGCAGTCGGCATTACATGCGACGGACAGATTGAGACTGTGTTCTATCAGCGCACTGTATGGAACACAAACTAATCGATTCAACACATTTTCATGGCTATTTACTCACATGCACTTAATTAGAACGTTCAACCATGTAATAATCCTCTTTATTATTCACATTTAAAATGGACTTTCATTTTAAAAAGGGTGGGTAGGTGGTTAACAAAATTCACTTCAGATTACCGTCAAAATGTTATGAAAATAAATTTATTGCGCAATTAAAAATGCCAGCAGATCTCTGGGAGCAAACATCATGTGGAGATGCAGTGAAGAATGGAGCTGGTTATCGTGCCCAACTGCTAGAATCAGTTATATATTAGGATGAGCAGCAGCTGGTCCGATATCAGTAGTGTCTGACCAGATATGGCCATGCAGCCAGAGAGAAAGTGACATTTTATAATAATATATATAATAATTAAAAGTGAGATTTAAAAAAAAAAAAGTATTTAAAAAAAAATAATAATAGATATACATAATTTAAAAAAGATCATTAAGATTCATTAAACGTAAAAACTAAAAACGCAGAAATGTGCTTTAAACATAAAACACACAGGCGATGTATAAATATATAGCGTGTACCTTCCGTGATATGGCACAGTCACCCCTGCCACTGGCATGTTAGGGCAGCTGATTAACAATATGAAGATGGACAACAGGCCGGGCAGAGTACACAACACGCAGAACTTGATCACCCCTGAGCAGTGCAGTTTCAGTTTGTTCACGATAAATCCCCCGAGAAAAGTACCACCTCCTCCTGCAGGGACCACCATATAACCTGCGGCAGAATAAAAACAAAACGTTTAGCCACATCCACCATTCCACAACGGAAAGGAAATGGTAAACTGAGTTTAATACAGTGACAGAACTGCACGCGCTAACTGTAATCTTTCAATATCTCCAACACTGGAGGCACTGCACACACACTGTAATCTTTTAATATCCCTAACACTGGAGGCACTACACACACAGTAATCGTTCAATATCCCCAACACTGGAGGCAGTGCACACACAAACTGTAATCGTTCAATATCCCCAATACTGAAGGCACTGCACACACACACACACACTGTAATCTGTCAATATCCCAACATTGGAGGCACTGCACACACAAACTATAATCTGTCAATATCCCCAACACTGGAGGCACTGCACACACACTGTAGTCGTTCAATATCCCCAACACTGGAGGCACTGCACGTGCTAACTGTAATCTTTCAATATCCCCAACACTGGAGGCAGTGCACACACACTGTAATCTTTCAATATCCCCAACACTGGAGGCACTGCACACACACTGTAATCTTTCAATATCCCCAACACTGGATGCACTGCACACACACTGTAATCTTTCAATATCCCCAACACTGGAGGCACTGCACACACACTGTAATCGTTCAATATCCCCAACACTGGAGGCACTGCACGTGCTAATTGTAATCTTTCAATATCCCCAACACTGGAGGCAGTGCACACACACTGTAATTGTTCAATATCCCCAACACTGGAGGCACTGCACGTGCTAACTGTAATCTTTCAATATCCCCAACACTGGAGGCACTGCACATACACTGTAATCTTTCAATATCCCCAACACTGGAGGCACTGCATGCACACTATAATCTTTCAATATCCCCAACACTGGAGGCACTGCACACACACTGTAATCTTTCAATATGCCTGGCACTGCACACAAACTGTAATCTTTCAATATCCCCAACACTAGAAGCACTGCACGCACACTGTAATCTGTCAATATCCCCAACACTGGAGGCACTGCATGCACACTGTAATCTGTCAATATCCCCAACACTGGAGACACTGCACGCACAATGTAATCTTTCAATATCCCCAACGCTGAAGGGACTACACACACTGTAATATTCCGATATCATCAGATTCAGGTTGGCGTACAAGTTATCATACAATAGCGGTGGATTTGTTGCAGGGTAGGATCGGGTATAACGTGTAACAGCAATGAAAACACAACTGGAGGAAAAGACAGAGGTAATTTTTCCCCATAGGAACAGAGGCAATTCTGAGTTCATCATGTATAATTGAAAGCAGCGAAACAGTCAGATATTGAAACTATAACGCAGGTCATGTAAGATCTTTGTAGGGAGAAGGTAAAGGTGCAACTGGAGTATTCAATATCAAAGGTAGAGAAGATTATATTAGTGCTGCATAGGCAGATTGTGCCATACATTTTCCAGTGACAGCTGCCTGTTATGTGTGTTATGTGATATGACAGTAGATGGCGCCAGTGTACAAGGATTGCTTCCAGCTCAGGCTGAGTCGATAGTTTCTTGCTAATGTTGGCACACAATGAACTAGAATAACATCCTCTGTTTTAATTCTCTTCCTATTCAGCTCATCAGTGAAGTTTAACTTTTCATGGAATTCGGTACTCCCTACTATGCAAACAATCCTGCCAGATGTCCATCTCTGATACTGCGTAAAGTAGCCCTCATTCTTTACTAGAATCCTTTCCAACAGGGCAGTCACGCATCACAGCCAACATTACATTTATCTAGAGCTAAACCCTACGTTATGGCGGCATTGTACAGATAATACCGCTTGGCTATATTACTGTGAAGAATGATAGAACAGTACAATATGTGGATTAAATGTCCCTGAACCTTCTCGGCTAATAGCATGGAGTAATAAGGTGCAGTCACTGCTCCTGCACTAGGTGTAGACACAAGGTCCCACAGTGCAAAGCGGGCATCCCACAATGCCTTGCATGCTCCAGGTTGTTCTGTACAATTGGTGGGAAACTGGATGACACAATGTATGGATCAAATACTCAACCAACGAGGACTTTGTTACCTTTATTGTTTGGATGACAGATTCCTTTGTATTGTTTATAAATATCGTTACAGGAAAATACACAAATCGTGTCTATTCACTAAGTGTTGAATTAATTGTAGAAAATTCTGCTAATTTCTTCTGACTTTATTTAATATGGCTGATAACATTTTTACTTCACTCTTTATTGACTGAACTAAATGAACATTCAGTCAAACAGGTCCCAGCTATTTCCGATGTTTCTCATGGCAGCAATGATATAGAGTTTCAGAGTATCAACAGCCGAACGCTGACTGGATGGCAGCCGAATGCTGATTGAATGGCAGCCGAACGCTGACTGGCAGACCAATACTGATTGAATGGCAGCAGAACGCTAACTGAACTCTAGCTAAATGGCAGCCCAACTCTGACTGACCAGGCAGCCGAACGCTAAGTGAATGGCAGACCTACACTAACTAAATGGCACCCGAATGCTAACTGAAAGGCTAAATGCCAATATTGGCAGACAAAGACACGAATATGGAGGCCTATGGTAAGTGAATAGACCTCTGAAAGTGGCATTGTTTCCCAATCCTTGCCAGCTGAGTCTCACTCAGCATAGTGCAGTGAAACACACATGATCACTTTATATCAGGCATCCTGCTGTGCCCCACTCACTGCCGCACTCTACACCGGGCGTTATCCATCACAATCACTTCTTACCAAAGAAAGTAGCAGCTTCTGACGCACTCAGACTAAACTGGGATTCCAGGAATTTGGGGCCAAAGGTTGACATCCCTGTAATAAGTGTGGCTTCAGTGGCTCCTGCCAAACAAAGGAAGATAAACGTGGGGTTCCTGAGCAGCATGAAGAGAGACCTGGAGAAAGCAGAATTCACAAAAATGATTTCATCTCACGCTGACATTTTAAAAGCCATAGAATCCTGGCTTCATGGAATAAAAAAAAGAAAAAAGAAAAATATCAAACACGTTAACCAGCAATTACAGTACAGTATGCCACGAGACAGCTAGATAATAACTTCCAGGGATAATGGGCAATAATAAATCTGACTAAAGCCATTTACAGGGAGCCTGTCTTCTAAACACTGATGTGACAACCTTAAATGGAGATTCTAAAGACTAATCACTGTAAGATGATCATTGGCTGGTGACGCTGGTCATGGCGAAGAAAATGCAATGTATTGAAAAATAGCCACTTTTTGAGAGTTTCCCCTAAATGATGAAAAGAAGGTTCTCTAAAACTAGGCAGCTATTTCCATGGAAGGAGTCACATTAGCACTTACCTTATTTTATCTCCTTATAAGTAGCACACTGTGCTGACATACCACACTCTAACATGGGGCTCACAGCATATGCCAGGTACTTACTTTGGCATATCTTTAATGGTTTTCCCGAAGTCAGGATCTGGTTTATGGCTTCCACCATTCACCTGATGAGCTTCTGACACTCTCATAACCACGTAACGCTGAGATCCTAACAAAATGGATGCAAATATAAAATTATTCCCATCACCCTGTTAACAACCTACAGATTTCTTAATACTTAACAAGGAGAATAAAAGAGCGGAATCTTATCAAGTCAGAGAAGACAAACACGGATCCACCTGCTGGTAACATGTTTTGACTGTTATTTCATTAATTCTAAATAAAATACGAATCACACTGCTATGCTGATTAGGTTCCCATTGCTTGTCCAAAATAACAATGTATATATATATATATATATATATATATATATATATAAAACGAGCATTAGAACAGGTGTGATGAATTTACATTATTTTATTTTGCAGAATGCAATAATTTTAAAGTTAAATTGTAACTGATCTGCAAACAGCATTATCAATATGTAACAGACACACAATAAAGGGATCTAATACAAACACTGACACATTGTATTGGGAGCCATCTTTCAATCCAATGCTCTAACACAGGGGTTCCCAATCCAGTCCTCCAGTACCCCCAACCAGTCCAGATTTAGGGATTACCCTGTGTCTAAAGTGTTTTTTTTCTTTCTTCTAAAAACACAACTGGGTAATCCCTAAATCTTGAACTGGTTGGGGGTACTTGAGGAATGGGTTGGGAACCACTGCTCTAACATATGCTGCAGCGCAGTACAATGCGTTCACAAAATAATGCAAGTAAATTCAATATAAATTTGATTTAACAGAGCAAGAGGTTGTGAGGGCCCTCTACGAGCAAACGTCCATGGTAGATTACCAGAAATAGTGTACATCATAATGGAGGCTTTGCGCGGAACTGATGAATATCTGTCAATAATCGCTTATTGCTCTAATCTCTCCTTGTTGACACAGATTCCCTGACTCACGTACCTGGCAGCTGCTGTGGGAATGCAAGGATCGGGAATGAAATAAGGAAAGCAGCAGCTCCGGCTCCAAGGAAGCCAATCCACCAAGCTCCGACCCACAGGGGATTTTCAGGCGTGAGTTCAGTGCTGCGAGACAGAGTGTTCAGGAATAATGGTTTATTCTCCTCGCAGCAACAGATTCATCATGATTATTATATACATACAACGTATAGAATATTTTATATACATACAATATATAGACTTTTTACTCTTGTCACATTTGGACATTCGGCATTGTCCAGGGGCACCAACAAAGCATTACCCCCCCATGCCCTGCAAAGTGTGGGGGCGCAAATCAGCTGATCTTATTACAGCCAGTGCATTATTACAGCTTATTGTATTATTACAGCTCAGTGTATTATTGCAGCTTATGGAGTTATTATAGCTTATTGTATTATCACAGCTCGGTGTATTATCAAAACTTATTGTATTATTACAGCTCATTATATTAATACAGCTCAGTGTATTATCACAGCTCCTTATATAATCACAACTCAGTGTATTATTTCAGTTTATTGAGTTATTACAGCTTAGTGTATTATTACATCTTATTGTGTTATTACTGCTCAGTGTATTATTACAGCTCTGTGTATTATTGCAGTTTATTGAGTTATTACAGCTTAGTGTATTATTACAGCTTATTATGTTATTACTGCTCAGTGTATTATTACAGCTCATTATATTATTACAGCTCTGTGTATTATTGCAGTTTATTGAGTTATTACAGCTTAGTGTATTATTACAGCTTATTATGTTATTACTGCTCAGTGTATTATTACAGCTCATTATATTATTACAGCTCTGTGTATTATTGCAGTTTATTGAGTTATTACAGCTTAGTGTATTATTACAGCTTATTATGTTATTACAGCTCTGTGTATTATTGCAGTTTATTGAGTTATTACTGCTCAGTGTATTATTACTGCTCAGTGTATTATTACAGTATTATTACAGCTTATTTTATCATTACAGATTATTAGAGCTCAGTGAATTATTACAGCTCAGTGTATTATTACATCTTATTGTATCATTACAGATTATTAGATTATTACAGCTCAGTGTATTATAAGCACTACAATAAACTATGATGATGCATTGAGCTTTATCCTAGCCATCATTTTTGAATATTCATAATATTTTTGCCGACACAATGGAATTATTTATTTTTCTGACATTATTTTCAACGGAAAAACAGTGGAATTTTTCGGCCACTTTGAATTATGTAGTGTTTTTCTGAAATTGAAATTTTTGCTAAAACTGGTGGGATGTACTATAATTAAATGGTCACGTTTTATACGTGTTGAAAGTGAATGCAGGGTGTGTGAATCCTGGATAGGGCCAATAAGAGTTAATATGGATGCTTTTCTGATATAGATAATGAATAACTTACGGATTGCTGATTTCCGTGTATATATTTAGGAAAAATCCACCGAGCAGATAACCCACCGCAGGCCCAACTATTGCAGCCGTATAAAATATACCTAAACAGGAAAATACAGCAACAATGAAGTAACAGACAGACACACTGCAATATGATTTCAATCAATAACCAATATCTAACTGCACCCCTCTTAAAAACCAGATAAACCTCAGAAAAGGTCATGTGACCTGGAATAATGAAGAGATAAAGGTGAAACATAGATAGGTAGCATGGGAAACATAAGTCAAATGATTGAAAGAACATGGTGTGAAAATGCATATAACAGAATGAGACAGGATGACAGCACTTCTTGACCAGATATCCCTAATTACGCTATGTTTTACATGTTAAAATGTATGGCCACCCTTCCTCTTCCACAATGTCAGCATGCAGGCGCATTGTGGGAATGTTGCACAGCATTCTGGGAGAAAGCTGCAGTCACACTTTATGTCTAAGGCTGCCTTATGCACGTAGAGGGTAAAGGAAGAAAATACCAATAATTTCCCTGTAAATCGTACATACAGAGTATTAGCTCTAAATCGCCAGTGTGTTATAAGTGTATGACTGACCCCAATAATATGCCAACCCAGCCCATTCCTGTCGTCACTGCATGCTGCCCAGGCTTTAATGGACAGACAGTTCACATGTAGACCTTATAGTCCATCCCTCTGCACATACATACTTTCAGCACTCCATCCCTTCATCCATTGATACATTCATCCATCTCTACCTCCATCCTACCATCGATCCATCTCTCCCTGCCTCTCTGTCCTTCCGTACATTCATCTGCCCATCCATCCTTCACTCCATTTATCCAACCATCTATTGATCTCTCCCTCTTTCCATACATCTCTTCATCCACTGATACATTTATCCATCTCTACCTCCATCCTACCATCGATCCATCTCTCCCTGCCTCTCTGTCCTTCCATACATTCGTCCGACCATCCACCTGCCCATCCATCCTTCACTCCCTTTATCCAACCATCCATCCTACCATCGATCTCTCCATCTCTCCCTCCTTCCATACATCTCTTCATCCATTGATACATTTATCCATCTCCACCTCCATCCTACCATCGATCCATCTCTCCCTGCCTCTCTGTCTCTCCATACATTCATCCAACCATCCATCCCTCCATCCTACCATCGATCGGGCCTTCCCTCCTTGCCTCTCTCCCTTCTTCCATACATTCATCCAACCATCCATCCCTCCATCTGCCCATCCATCCTTCACTCCCTTTATCCAACCATCGATGGCTCCATCTCTCCCTCCTTCCATACATCTCTTCATCCATTGATACATTTATCCATCTCTCCCTCCATCCTACCATCAATCCATCTCTCCCTCCTTCCATACATCTCTTCATCCAACCATCCATCCCTCCCTCCATCCTACCATCGACCCATATCACCCTGCCTCTCTCCCTCCTTTTATACATTCATCCATCTCTTCATCCAACCATCCATCCTTCACTCCCTTTATCCAACCATCCATCCTACCATCGATCGCTCCATCTCTCCCTGCCTCTCTCCCTCCTTCCATATATTAATCCATCTCTTCATCCAACCATCCATCCCTCCATCTGCCCATCCATCCTTCACTCCCTTTATCCAACCATCTCTCCCTGCCTCTCTCCCTCCTTCCATACATACATTTATCCATCTCTACCTCCATCCTACCATCAATCCATCTCTCCCTGCCTCTCTCCCTCCTTCCATACATCTCTTCATCCAACCATCCATCCCTCCCTCACTCCATCCTACCATCAATCCATATCACTCTACCTCTCTCCCTCCTTCTATACATTCATCCATCTCTTCATCCAACCATCCATCCTCCACTCCCTTTATCCAACCTCCATCCTACCATTGATTGCTCCATCTCTCCCTCCTTCCATACATTAATCCATCTCTTCATCCAACCATCCATCCTCCACTCCCTTTATCTAACCTCCATCCTACCATTGATTGCTCCGTCTCTCCCTCCTTCCATACATTAATCCATCTCTTCATCCAACCATCCATCCCTCCATCTGCCCATCCATCCTTCACTCCCTTTATCCAACCATTGATCGGTCCCTCCCTCCTGGCCTCTCTCCATCCTTCCATACATCTCTTCATCCGCCCATCCATCCCTCCCTCCAACCATCCATCCTACCATCAGTCGCTCCATCTCTCCCTCCTTCCTTACATTCGTAAATCTCTTCATCCTACTCTACCTCCATCCTGCCATCGATCCATCTCTCCTTGCCTCTCCTTCCTTCTTCCATACATCTCTATATCCGCCCATCCATCGATCAGTCCATTTCTCCCTACCTCTTTCCCCCCCTTCATCCCTACCTCTCTTTCTCCCTCCCTAATTTGCTTTATTTGACACCTGACTGACGTCCATGAAAATGGAACTTGCCAAAAGCACCAGCTCAGTCCCATGACGGTTAGTGAGCTACTATTCTACATATGGTAGTTAGTCTAAAACATAAAAGGTATACAAAACATCAGAACAACAAATGTTTATTGCATAGATTGGGAGATTCCCTACCGTCTGCAGCAACAAAATTATGGTGTAAGAAGGTCCCCTGCCCCTGTCTCGCACACAGTGTATTATAACTGCAGCTATAAGGTTATGGTGTAAGGAGGTCCCCTGTCTCCCCGCACACAGTGTATTATAACTGCAGCTATAAGGTTATGGTGTAAGGAGGTCCCCTGTCTCCCTGTACACAGTGTTTTATAACTGCAGCTATAAGGTTATGGTGTAAGGAGGATCCCTGTCTCCCCACGCAGTGTATTATAACTTCAGCTATAAGGTTATGGTGTAAGGAGGTCCCCTGTCTCACGCACACAGTGTATTATAACTGCAGCTATAAGGTTATGGTGTAAGGAGGTCCCCTGTCTCCCGCACACAGTGTATTATAACTGCAGCTATAAGGTTATGGTGTAAGGAGGTCCCCTGTCTCCCGCACACAGTGTATTATAACTGCAGCTATAAGGTTATGGTGTAAGGAGGTCCCCTGTCTCCCCGCACACAGTGTATTATAACTGCAGCTATAAGGTTATGGTGTAAGGAGGTCCCCTGTCTCCCCGCACACGGTGTATTATAACTGCAGCTATAAGGTTATGGTGTAAGGAGGTCCCCTGTCTCCCCGCACACAGTGTATTATAACTGCAGCTATAAGGTTATGGTGTAAGGAGGACCCCTGTCTCCCAGCACACAGTGTATTATAACTGCAGCTATAAGGTTATGGTGTAAGGAGGGCCCCTGTCTCCCTGCACACAGTGTATTATAACTTCAGCTATAAGGTTATGGTGTAAGGAGGTCCCCTGTCTACCCGCACACAGTGTATTATAACTGCAACTATAAGGTTATGGTGTAAGGAGGTCCCCTGTCTCCCAGCACACAGCGTATTATAACTGCAGCTATAAGGTTATGGTGTAAGGAGGTCCCCTGTCTCCCCGCACACAGTGTATTATAACTGCAGCTATAAGGTTATGGTGTACAGAGGTCCCTGTCTCCCCACACACAGTGTATTATAACTGCAGCTATAAGGTTATGGTGTAAGGAGGTCCCCTGTCTCCCCGCACACAGTGTATTATAACTGCAGCTATAAGGTTATGGTGTAAGGAGGTCCCCTGTCTCCCCGCACACAGTGTATTATAACTGCAGCTATAAGGTTATGGTGTAAGAAGGTCCCCTGTCTCCCCGCACACAGTGTATTATAACTGCAGCTATAAGGTTATGGTATAAGGAGGTCCCCTGTCTCCCCACACACAGTGTATTATAACTGCAGCTATAAGGTTATGGTGTAACGAGGTCCCCTGTCTCCCCGCACAGTGTATTATAACTGCAGCTATAAGGTTATGGTGTAAGGAGGTCCCCTGTCTCCCCGCACAGTGTATTATAACTGCAGCTATAAGGTTATGGTGTAAGGAGGTCCCCTGTCTCCCCGCACACAGTGTATTATAACTGCAGCTATAAGGTTATGGTGTAAGGAGGTCCCCTGTCTCCCCACACACAGTGTATTATAACTGCAGCTATAAGGTTATGGTGTAAGGAGGTCCCTGTCTCCCCGCACACAGTGTATTATAACTGCAGCTATAAGGTTATGGTGTAAGGAGGTCCCCTGTCTCCCCGCACACAGTGTATTATAACTGCAGCTATAAGGTTATGGTGTAAGGAGGTCCCCTGTCTCCCCGCACACAGTGTATTATAACTGCAGCTATAAGGTTATGGTGTAAGGAGGTCCCCTGTCTCCCCGCACACAGTGTATTATAACTGCAGCTATAAGGTTATGGTATAAGGAGGTCCCCTGTCTCCCCGCACACAGTGTATTATAACTGCAGCTATAAGGTTATGGTGTAAGGAGGTCCCCTGTCTCCCCGCACACAGTGTATTATAACTGCAGCTATAAGGTTATGGTGTAAGGAGGTCCCCTGTCTCCCCGCACACAGTGTATTATAACTACAGCTATAAGGTTATGGTGTAAGGAGGTCCCCTGTCTCCCCGCACACAGTGTATTATAACTGCAGCTATAAGGTTATGGTGTAAGGAGGTCCCCTGTCTCCCCGCACACAGTGTATTATAACTGCAGCTATAAGGTTATGGTGTAAGGAGGTCCCCTGTCTTCCCGCACACAGTGTATTATAACTGCAGCTATAAGGTTATGGTGTAAGGAGGTCCCCTGTCTCCCCGCACACAGTGTATTATAACTGCAGCTATAAGTTCATGGTGTAAGGAGGTCCCCTGTCTCCCTGCACACAGTGTATTATAACTGCAGCTATAAGGTTATGGTGTAAGGAGGTACCCTGTCTCCCCTCACACAGTGTATTATAACTGCAGCTATAAGGTTATGGTGTAAGGAGGTTCCCTGTCTCCCCGCACACAGTGTATTATAACTGCAGCTATAAGGTTATGGTGTAAGAAGGTCCCCTGTCTCCCCGCACACAGTGTATTATAATTGCAGCTATAAGGTTATGGTGTAAGGAGGTCTAAACCCCTACTTTACCGTCCAAGATGTTTTGCAAAATGTTAATTTCTGGTTGTTTTGATTTCTGATCTATCTCATGAAAATTTACAGGTTTATTCATTAAACTTGGAAATTTTACAAATTAAATCTGAATAAAAAAGCTGGGGCAAAAATAGCAGGTTTGGAAATATATTCCAACTCACCACAACCTGTGGTGCTTCTAGTATCCTAGAACAAAAAAAGATTTTACCTGCAATTAGGGAAGCAAGAGATATGTGAAGCATAGAAGCTGTGAAGACGTGTGAATAAGGTTCATCACACGATGTGAATCGTGGTCTGTGTCATGGTGGACAGTTCGCATTTTGGCATGGGGTACTAGGGGAGCAGCAATCACAAGGAAGGTGTAATTATTTGACTGCCCCCACCAACACCCCAGAATCTGTGCTCACAGTAGCTAAAACATTCACAGTGTAATCTACCATATTCGGGCATCATAATGTGATGCACGTGAGAAGTGTTGCCCTGCAATACATAGTATTCATACACTGCCGGAATTAAATGAACAAATTCATGAACAAGGGGTCCCAAAGGAGCAGCCCTGCTTATTGGATTTACTCACAATCTGTATCACTTTCACACAATGTAGAATATTTCCCTTATAAGGTTTGTTGTGCATGTTTTGCTATCTGTAGCCTATGACTAAGTGCTAAACACAGTGTGTGCCTTTGATCCCTGTACTCTGGACGTGACCCTGGACAGTACACCTGCTATCTTTCCATATTCACGCGACAGTGATTCAGCTTCTGCTATCGCTCCTGGCTGCAATGTACAGGTTTACATTCACAACTAGATTAATCTGTCATCAGACTTTCAGAACGAACTGACTGCACATTCTGTTACTAGGCGGCAGGTTTAAAGGTATCTCTCATAATACAAAGTAACCTACCTGCAACAATACCATGGGCGGGGGTGGGGGGGAGGAAATCCATCCCATGCCCTCATCGAGTCCTGCACTAGTTCAAGAAATATATACAGAGAAAGACAGGTGCATGGCTATACGTTTGAAGGGACTAGAGCTGAGTACACTTCTGGCCACCACGTAACGAGTTTGTTCTTGGAAATAGGTTCAGGTATTTTTATGAGTTTAACCCCTTAAGGACCAAACTTCCAGAATAAAAGGGAATCATGACATGTCACACATGTCATGTGTCCTTAAGGGGTTAAAACACACAAAATTACAAAAACGATCATTCCATTTGAAGTCAGCAAAATCTTGTTACATTATGCTTTTCAAATTATTCAATACTGTTAGAAAATCTTTCCGAATGACTTATCTACAACTAATTTTCATAGCCTGTAATGGTTAATTGTGTAGACACGTCATTTGGAAACTTTCCATCACATTGCCACCATATTGTAAACCTACAGTTTTAGCACATTTTAGATTTGGTCCCAGATTGACATTTTTGGCCCTGAAACACCATATTCTTCACATTTTTTTTTAACGTTCAAGTACTGAGTGTAACAAGCTGCCATTTGGAGGGTACTCTGGGAAAAAAAATAAAATCAAATTGTTACCAGCATTTTATAATTCAACCTCGAAGGTCAAAACATGTAGAAAATTAGGTTTTGTTTAGTCATAAAGGCTCAACAAATCACAGAAATTATTTATACCCTTAACAAGATCAGGCAACACAATACTGAGCTTTATAGCTCTTAAAGAAAAAATAAGTACTGGCCAATCCAAAAATGCCCCAAACTGGCCTCATTCTAGGTCAGCCTTACAGAATGTAATTGTCTACATTTCAGGAGAATAAAAAATTATTTTAAAAAAATTCTAAAAACAGAATAATCAAAAACTGTGAGGCAACCTGCATTTGTATATTTGTCATGGAATGACCCAAATCCCAAATACAAACATAAAAATAAGTAAAACCACATGGGCTGTTTGTAGAGCAAGAGACAGAAAGTGTCCTTTACGTACCAATGTACACAGGGGAGTAGCTGGATTTGACGTTTTCATCTAAGTAGGTGACTCCGAGGGTGTAGAGGGGGGTGGCACCAATGCCATGGAGAAACTGGCCCAACATGAAAACATATCTGTAATGGGACAGACTAGAAGCACTTTCTGCGACCTGCTGTGTTTGGTTTGAACTACACCCTCCGATATCATCTGATAGGTCAACTTTGTACACGCTGGAGGTAAAATGAGGAAGTGCAAATACTAGCGATCCAATTCCCATAATCAGGACACCCCAACCTAGCCAGCGAGGTTTGTGCCCATTCCCACCAAAATAGCTAACAAACGTCAAACACACGCAGGCGGCTATATCGTAGGAGCTTGCAATCAGTCCACTCTGGTAGCTATGAAGGTCAAACCTCCGTTCTATTGAGGTGATCACAGTGTTAATAAAGCCATTTACCACCATTCCTTGCAGAAAGGACGCCATGCACAGAAAGAACAGCACGCCTCGGGAGTTGTTAAATATCTGGAGGAATGATGGAGTAAAGCCCCCCCAGCCACACTGGTTTTCATCGTCCGAGGGCACAAATTTAATCTCACAGGGGTCACCGCTTTCATACAGATTCTTGGTCTCATCGTACAGGGGTTCAGTAAAGGAACCCGGGGAAATGTCATCATTTAAATGGAAAGCACCCCTGGAGAACAATGTCCTCCCTTGGTCTCGAGGGTCAGGAGAAGGACTGCTGAGATCATATTCACTTGGGCTGTGAGAAGGCGTGTTCAGATAGAGAAGCTCCTGCTTAGAATTGAATGAGCTTTCTAAATTTTTATGATGGAGCATTTCAAATGAAATGCTGAAAAAGGCATCCGAGAAGAAACTTTCAGCTTAGGTTACAGTGGTGATGATCCACATGCAGCGTGAGGTCAGTTTGGCAAAAATAGGTCTGTGCAAAGACAAAGAACAAGAAATATTATTTACAGGATGTACAGAAATGTTTACAAAAACAACACATTCTCCACCTTTAAATGAGAGTGCACAGTGAGATTGATGTGTAGGAGTGTAAAGGAGTGTGCATGGTGAGAGTGATGTGTAGGAGTGTATAGGAGTGCACAGTGAGAGTGATGTGTAGCAGTGTATAGGAGTGCACGTGAGATTGATGTGTAGGAGTGTATAGGCGTGTGCACGGTGAGAATGATGTGTAGGAGTGTATAGGAGTGTGCACAGTGAGAATGATGTATATAGGAGTGCACGGTTAGATTGAAGTGTAGGAGTGTATAAGAGTGTGCAGAGTGAGATTGATGTGTAGGAGTGTATAGGAGTGTGCACAGTGAGAATGATGTGTATAGGAGTGTGCTCGGTGAGAGTGATGTGTAGGAGTGCACGGTGAGATTGATGTGTAGGAGTGTATAGGAGTGCACAGTGAGATTTATGTGTATAGGAGTGTGCACGGTGAGATTGATGTGTAGGAGTGTATAGAAGTGCACAGTGAGATTGATGTGTAGGAGTGTATAGGAGTGCACAGTGAGATTGATGTGTAGGAATGTAAAGGAGTGTGCACGGTGAGATTGATGTGTAGGAGTGGTCACGATGAGAGTGATGTGTAGGAGTGTATAGGAGTGTGCACAGTGAGAGTGATGTGTAAGAGTGTATAGGAGTGCACAGTGAGAGTGATGTGTAGGAGTGCACGGTGAGAGTGATGTGTAGGAGTGCACGGTGAGAGTGATGTGTAGGAGTGCACAGTGAAATTGATGTGTATGAGTGCACAGTGAGATTGATGTGTAGGAGTGTTTAGGAGTGCACAGTGAGATTGGTGTGTATGAGTGATGTGTAAAGGTTTACTGTATAGGAGTGTGACGAGACCAATCTGGCCACTGTGCATTGGAGGAGCCTGGTTGCCCACCTGCTGCCTTTAGACTATGGCCCCATGTTGAAACGCTTGATTTTCCCCTGCAAAGACACGAAAGCCGGGTCATTCGGTGCTTGCCCTGTTTGAGCGGTGATACCCCAGATAGCTATGCCATGGAGCCCATTCGTATAATGAAAGACTATGGGAAAGACTTTGGCTCCATGGCAATTGAACTGTATGTGTGTTATCTGAGCGCCATTCAGTAATAATGTGCGCTCAGATCTGAGCTATCTGGGGATATGTTGAATGTACCTGTTTTATGCAATGGCTGCACAGTTATATATTTTTATGTATTTTATTGTCTTTTGCTGCCATGTGTTCAATGGAGTTTTGCCTCTGTCCTTGGAGATAATTGGATTACTTCCCAATTATCTCCAGGATAGAAGACTCTGTGGAACTGGTTTTAGGCAGAAAAGCCATGCTTCATTTGATCACAAAGGACTACGATCTATCTTTTTAACCACTGGACCAATTTGTATGATTTTGACGTATGTTTGTATTTGGAGTATGCTGATTCTGAATGTAAGTTTTATGTGAATGTGATGCATACTTTTAAAATTATGAATAATGTGAAAAAACTTTATTTCTCTGCCTGTGATAATTACATTACCCATTCTGTAAGGTAATTGTATCACAGGCAGAGGGGATGATTTTGTGTGGGAGTGTCTGAGTGTATTGTATGTGTTGGTTGTTTTCCAAAACCCTGTGGGTGGTACTAATGTGTAAGAATGTGTATATAAGAACAATAAACCCACAGCTCTGTCTGTTCCTGGTTTGACCCTCAACACGGAGCCTTGTCTCGTTCTTGGGGGGATTTATTGTATGCTGTTCCAGTTCGACTGCTAGGAGTGTAAACCTTTCATTTGTTTTTTCCTATTTGACTGTTTACAGCATTCGTATGTTTGAGAGCATTCGTATGCTTCTCCGGTTCGGTGGATTGGTGTCTTTGGTAGCTGTGCCTGTGTATCCGGAAGGGGAATATCCTCTAAACGGCTGTTTAACCCCTTTTATGCCTGGGGGTGCCGTTACAAGGAGTGTGCACAGTGAGATCAAATAATATAATAATAAAACTCTAGGAAGTATGGAATCCCAGGCACCATCTTACTGGAGGAGGGAGTGATATATCTGCACACTGAGTGCTACATTTGATAATGATATTGCCGGCACAATATAGAGAGATGAAATGTGTACCTACCTGAAAAAGAACCATGTATTTAGTGATGGGAGGTTCACTTTAAAAGTGAAATATACAGTTTTAAAGATGAAATATAGATTGACATTTGTAAGGGGAATTTAAAAGGGCAACTGCACCAAAACTCCCCCGGGGGGTGTATGTTTCCGGATTCCTCTCCAAGCTTTACTTTGAATAAAGTGCACTTAAGCTGCTGCACATTGCCAGCTAGGCCGAGATATACAGCCGAGACCGCCAAGAGATAATGGGGGGGGGGGATCTGTACATTAACACTGAGGCAGGGAGTTTAATAGAAAAGAGAAAACACTGACATCGTAATTCATTTTATTAGAACTGTCCCATCAGAGGAAATCGTCTTATTAAAGCATAACATACAATCGAGGGTTTAAGGATTTACAACACGCCCATTATCCTGCATCCTGGCGATACAATATTTTGTAGTTGTAAAAACCTCTATCCTCTGCTGAGAAGTAGTGAAATACTCTGTGTTCCCTGTCACATCATCCATAACGCTAGTTTAAATCAACGTCTGCTTTCAAAAGCACTGTACAAACAGACCCCAGCAGCTACACCAGCACCAGCCCGGGGGAGGGGGAGCTGCTGCGGTGGGGGAATATGTAGTACTTGATCACAGGCTCTCATTGAGAATATGATGCCACAATGGGAATATATTTTTATAAAAAAAAAATAAGATAAAAAGCATTATGAGCAAGACAATATTTTTCTCTGTACACAATACAAAAATCCATCTATGCATTTAACCCTGCTCTAACTCATATCTATATGTGTGCGTGACCTGACACCCTCAGGGAAGTGAACTGAAAGTGTCGTTTTATCACACACAGGCAGCCATTGTCATACATGACTCACATGTGAAGGTGATTACTTTATAGAACACGCTATTTGTCTTGCAAATATCCGACACGCCTAAAGCAGTCAACAGACAGTGAGCAGCACCAATATGTGTAGTAGAGAGATAGTGTGGAATATCATTCCTGCATACAATGTATTGATAATGCCAATTCCCATACTATAGATTGTATCAATATCCTGCCCCCCATTGCACCCAGGACAAGATCTGCAGCGATGCCCTTGGTGCCAGTAAATCCCTTCAATTGGTCCCAAACGGTTGTTTTGTTAGAGCTAAAGCCGATGTCTGACTGACAGTAACCTCCATGAGGCAGTCTACCAGATCAGAGGGAGGGGGCTAGCAGTCTGGCAAACGCTGAAAGCCTGCCAGGGGGCGTCCAGTCACTGGGTAACATACTTCCCAAGTGTCTCTGTTGAAGGCCCAAATTTCTCTGTCCCTCTTTTCTATCCTAATGTCCCTCTTTTCTTTTATAACATATCCTCCCTATAATAATATACCACTACTCTCTATAATAATAATAATACAATAGAAAGTAATAACCTCCCTATAATAATAATAATAATATAACCCTCCCCACCCTAATAATATTAACCCTCCCTATAATAATTTAAAATACTATCCCTATAATAATAGAATACAATACCTCATCCCAATAATAATAATACACCTCATTATAATAATAGAATATACATACCATCTCTATAATAATAATAATAATAATATCCCTACTACTTGGAATAATAATAATACAATATAATACCCGTCCCTATAATAATAATAGACTATAATATAGCTACCGATAATAAGAATAATAAAAAAAAACATTCCCTATCAAAACACAATAGCCCCTCCCCATAATAACAATAGAATACAATAACATATAATAACATAATACTCCTCCCTATACTGATATATTATAATAGCCACTCCCTGTAATAAAAGACTAGAATATATCCCCTATAGTAATAATAATAGAATGCTCCCTCCCTATAATAATAGGATATAATACCTCTTCCCTATATTAATAGAATACCACCTCCCTATAATAATAGGATAAAATACCTTTTCCCTATAATAACAGAATACCTCTTCCTTATAATAATAGAATAAAATACCCCTTCCATATAATAGGACAGAATACCTCCTCCATATAATAAGAGAATAAAATACCCACCCCTATAATATTAGAATATTATAGCCCCTCCCTATAATAATAATATAATACCCCCTCCCTATAACAATATAATACCCCCTCCCCTTTAATTATAATATAATTCCCCCTCCCTATAGTAATAGAATATACCACTCCTTATATAGATATAATAATAGAGTATAACACCCCCTCCCTATAACAATAGAATATTATACCACCACTTCCTATGAAGATAGAATACCCTCCCCTTTAATAATATAATACCCCTCCCTATAATATTCACTCTCTATAATTATATAATAGCCCCCACCCTATAATAATAGAATACCCACCTCTCTATAATAACAGAATACCCCTCTCCCTATAATAATATACCTCCCTATAATAATAAAATACCTCCTCCCTATAATAACAGAATAACCCCTCCCTATAATATAATGCCCCCCCCTATTGTAATATAATAATATACCCCTTCCCTATAATAATATAATATCCCATTCCTATAATAATATAATACCCCTACCTTAAAATAATAGAATACCCCCACCATATAATACATCTCCCTATAGTAATAGAATACCCCCTCCCTATAATAATATAATACCCCTACCTATAATAATAATATTACCCCTTCCCTAAAATAATGGAATACCCCCTCCCTATAATAATATAATTCCCCTACCTATAATAATAATAATATTACCCCTTCCCTAAAATAATAGAATACCCTCTCTCCATAATAATATAATATCAGCCTAACTATAATAATAAATGGCCCCAATAATAAAACAACCCCCCTCCCTATAACAATAGAATATAATACCGCCTTCCTATAATAAAATAATATATTACCCCCTCCCTATAATAATAGAATACCTCCTCCCAATAATAACAGAATATAACACCCCCTTTCTATAATAATATAATACTACAATATAATATCCCCTCCCTATAATAATATCATACCCTCTCCCTATAATAATAGAATACCTCCTCCCTATAATAATATAATTCCCCCTCCCTATAATACTAGAATATAATACCCCCTCCGTATAATATCATACCTCACTCGATAATAATACAATACCCCCTCCCTATAATACAATAAAATGCACCCTCCCTATAATAATATAATACCCCCTCAATAAAATAATAGAATATCATACCCCCACCCTATAATAATAGAATATTAAACCCCCTCCCTATAATATAATAGAATGTAATACCCCACTCCTATGTATAATAGAGATGTAATGCCCTCCTATATGTAGAATATAATACCCCCTCCCTATAATAATAGAATGTAATACCCCCTCCCTATAATTTCATACCCCCTGCCTATAATAATGTAATACTCCCCTCCCTATAATAATAGAATACAATAACCCCTCCCTATAATAATAGAATGTAATACCCCATCGCTATAATAATATCATACCCCCTCCCTATAATAGAATGTAATACCCCCTCGCTATAATAATACCATACCCCCTCCCTATAATAATAGAATGTAATACCACCTCCCTATAATAATATCATACCCCCTCCCTATAATAAAAGAATGTAATACCCCCTCCCTATAATAATAGAATGTAATAATATCATATCCCTCCCTATAATATCATACCCCCTCCCTATAATAATAGAATATAATACCCCCTCCCTATAATAATAGAATGTAATACCTCCTCCCTATAATAATAGACTATCATACCCCCTCCCTATAATAATAATAGAATGTAATACCCCCTCCCTATAATAATAGAATATCATACCCCCTCCCTATAATAATAGAATGTAATATCCCCTCCCTATAAAAATAGAATATAATACCCCCTCCCTATAATAATAGAATATCATACCCCCTCCCTATAATAATAGAATGTAATACCCCCTACCTATAATAGAATATAATACCACCTCCCTATAATAATAGAATATCATACCCCTCCCTATAATAACAGAATATAATACCCCCTCCTTATAATAATAGAATGTAATACCCACTCGCTATAATAATAGAATATAATACCCCCTCCCTATAATAATAGCATATCATACCCCCTCCCTATAATAATAGAATGTAATACCCCCTCGCTATACTAATAGAATATCATACCCCTTCCCTATAATAACAGAATATAATAGCCCCTCCCTATAATAACAGAATATAATACCCCCTCCCTATAATAATAGAATATAATACCCCCTCCCTATAATAATAGAATATCATACCCCCTCCCTATAATAGAATGTAATACCCCCTCCCTATAATATAATAGAATGTAATACCCCCTCCCTATAATAATAGAATGTAATACCCCCCTCCCTATAATATAATAGAATATAATATCCCCTCCCTATAATATAATAGAATGTAATACCCCCCTCCCTATAATAATAGAATATAATACCCCTCCCTATAATATATAATAGTCCTCCCTATAATAATGAATATAATACCCCCTCCCTATAATAATAGAATATAATACCCCCTCCCTATAATAATAGAATATCATACCCCCTCCCTATAATAGAATGTAATACCCCCTCCCTATAATATAATAGAATGTAATACCCCCTCCCTATAATAATAGAATGTAATACCCCCCTCCCTATAATATAATAGAATATAATATCCCCTCCCTATAATATAATAGAATGTAATACCCCCCTCCCTATAATATAATAGAATATAATATCCCCTCCCTATAATATAATAGAATGTAATACCCCCTCCCTATAATAATAGAATGTAATACCCCCTCCCTATAATATAATGTAATACCCCCTCCCTATAATATAATATCCCCTCCCTATAATAATAGTAACATATTACCCCCTCCCTATAATAGTAGTAACATATTACCATGAGCCGGCAGGTAGGTAGGTGGTGTGGCCAGGTAGGTGACCCGGAGAGCCGGTTTGTTCCAGTCTGCCTCCGAACCTGTCACTCTGCTCCCTGTCACTGACACTCTGCTCTCATTCAGCACTGACCACGCCCCCACCGCACTGACTGACAGCACTCTCAACTAATCACATCACAGCCCAACGTAACCTTATCAGCACTCATCCAATCAGAGAGCACGGACGGCACCCTACTCCTCGATGCTCGGGATGATGCCGAGATGCTCTTTGATGACGCCGCTACAAGAACCAGGATGCTGTTTAACCACGCCCACTACAAGGCAATGGGCGGGTATAGACCGCAGCCACGCCCATCAGCCGACCCATAAAGCGCTGCGATGAAATTGGCGGCAACGGCGCGTGTCCAGTGCGAAACTTTCCACATATTGGGCGGGAAAGCATAGTGACAGGACGGAATGTGCTGAGGTAACCCCTCCACTACCTCAGAGCCAGACACTAACCCCTCCTCCACTACCTCAGAACCAGACACTAACCCTCCTCCACTACCTCAGAACCAGACACTAACCCTCCTCCACTACCTCAGAGCCAGACACTAACCCTCCTCCACTACCTCAGAACCAGACACTAACCTTCCTCCACTACCTCAGAGCCAGATACTAACCCTCCTCCACTACCTCAGGCCAGACACTTCAACCCCTCCTCCACTACCTCCAGAGCCGAGACACTAACCCTCCTCCACCTCAGAGCCAGACACTAACCCTCCTCCACTACCTCAGAGGCCAGACACTAACCTTCCTCCACTACCTGACCAGACACTAACCTTCACTCCCACACTACCTCCAGGCCAGACACTAACCTTCCTCCCACACCTCCAGAGCCAGACACTAACCCGCCATCACCACCTCAGAACCAGACACTAACCCCTCCTCCACTACCTGGAGACCAGACACTAACCCCTCTACCTCGAGCCAGACACTAACCCTCCACTACCTCAGAGCCAGACACTAACCCTCCTCCACTACCTCAGAGCCAGACACTAACCCCTCCTCCACTACCTCAGAGCCAGACACTAACCCTCCTCCACTACCTCAGAGCCAGACACTAACCCTCCTCCACTACCTCAGAACTAGACACTAACCCTCCTCCACTACCTCAGAACCAGACACTAACCCCTCCTCCACTACCTCAGAGCCAGACACTAACCTTCCTCCACTACCTCAGAGCCAGACACTAACCCTCCTCCACTACCTCAGAGCCAGATACTAACCCTCTTTCACTACCTCAGAGCCAGACACTAACCCCTCCTTCACTACCTCAGAGCTAGACACTAACCCTCCTTCACTACCTCAGAGCCAGACACTAACCCCTCCTCCACTACCTCAGAGCCAGACACTAACCCTCCTCCACTACCTCAGAGCCAGACACTAACCCTCCTCCACTACCTCAGAGCCAGACACTAACCCCTCCTCCACTACCTCAGAGCCAGACACTAACCCTCCTCCACTACCTCAGAGCCAGACACTAACCCTCCTCCACTACCTCAGAACTAGACACTAACCCTCCTCCACTACCTCAGAACCAGACACTAACCCCTCCTCCACTACCTCAGAGCCAGACACTAACCTTCCTCCACTACCTCAGAGCCAGACACTAACCCTCCTCCACTACCTCAGAGCCAGACACTAACCCTCCTCCTACCTCAGAGCCAGACACTAACCCCTCCTCCACTACCTCAGAGCCAGACACTAACCCTCCTCCACTACCTCAACCAGATACTAACCCTCCTCCACTACCTCAGAGCCAGACACTAACCCATCCTCCACTACCTCAGAGCCAGACACTAAGCCCTCCTTCACTACCTCAGAACCAGACACTAACCCTCACCCCACTACCTCAGAACCAGACACTAAGCCCTCCTCCACTACCTCAGAGCCAGACACTAACCCTCCCTCACTACCTTAGAACCAGACACTAACCCTCCTCCACTACCTCAGAGCCAGACACTAACCCTCCACTACCTCAGAACCAGACACTAAACCTCCTCCACTACCTCAGAGCCAGACACTAACCCTCCCCCACTACCTCAGAGCCAGACACTAACCCTCCTCCACTACCTCAGAGCCAGACACTAACCCTCCTCCACTACCTCAGAGCCAGACACTAACCCTCCTCCACTACCTCAGAACCAGACACTAACCCTCCTCCACTACCTCAGAACCAGACACTAACCCCTCCTCCACTACCTCAGAGCCAGACACTAACCACTACCTCAGAGCCAGACACTAACCCTCCTCCACTACCTCAGAGCCAGACACTAACCCTCCACTACCTCAGAGCCAGACACTAACCTTCCTCCACTACCTCAGAGCCAGACACTAACCCTCCTCCACTACCTCAGAGCCAGACACTAACCCTCCTCCACTACCTCAGAGCCAGACACTAACCCCTCCCCCTCTACCTCAGAGCCAGACACTAACCCTCCTCCACTACCTCAGAGCCAGACACTAACCCTCCTCCACTACCTCAGAACCAGACACTTACCCCTCTTTCACTACCTCAGAGCCAGACACTAACCCCTCTTTCACTACCTCAGAGCCAGACACTAACCCCTCCTTCACTACCTCAGAGCTAGACACTAACCCTCCTTCACTACCTCAGAGCCAGACACTAACCCCTCCTCCACTACCTCAGAGCCAGACACTAACCCTCCTCCACTACCTCAGAGCCAGACACTAACCCTCCTCCACTACCTCAGAGCCAGACACTAACCCCTCCTCCACTACCTCAGAGCCAGACACTAACCCTCCTTCACTACCTCCTTCGGTATATCATGTATTAACCCCTCCCCTACCTGAGAACTAGATACTAATCATAGTCTTTATAATAAATGTGAGTACATTAGAAACTCTGAGGTAGTGGAGGAGGGTTAGTGCCCGGTTCTGAGGTAGAGGAGGATTAGAAATGCATTTTCAAAGCAATTTGATATATCTCCCCTTTATGTTTTAAAGATCTCATCAACAAACTATTCAAATCAACCACTACAGTGTTTTATAACGGTTTGACTTTCTACATGCGCTTTGCCAGACACCACTCCTGTCTTTACTAAAGAATGCCAAAAGCTCTCTTCATTGAGCTAAGTGCAATGCTGTAGGATGAGTGACGCTTTAAGGCAATGCGCAAGTGCTTAGGAGAGTTAAAGGACCACTATAGGCACCCAGACCACTTCAGCTTAATGAGGTGGTCTGGGTGCCTGGTCCAGCTAGGATTAACCCATTTTTCTATAAACTATGTTTATAAATGGGTTAATCCAGCCACTAGTGGCTGTCTCATTGACAGCCGCTAGAGGGCTTCCGCGCTTCTCACTGTGATTTTCACAGTGAGAAGACGCCATCGTCCATAGGAAAGAGTTGTGAGGTAAGTTTAACCCCTTCCTTCCCCAGAGCCGGGCAGGAGGGGGACCCTGAGGGTGGGGGCACCCTCAGGGCACTATAGTGCCAGGAAAATGAGTGTTTTCCTGGCACTATAGTGATCCTTTAACAAAACTCCTAGGCAGGACTCTGTGAAAGTAGTGAAGGTAAAAAGTGTCATCAGACCACAGGTGAGAAGTCAACCTCTTCTAAGCGGTTTGGCCAACTAATAGGGTGACACCAGAAAACTGTTGGCACCATAGCCATTACAGCATGCTGTGCTGGTAAAGGTGCTTAGAGTGTTCTGTTTATATAAACCTAAGGCTAACTTTGTGCCATTTCATGATTTGGTTTTTTTTTTCTGACAGGAAAGTGGTGATACTGGCATTACATTTATTAGAACAATGGAACAATTACTGGCATTGGAGTATTACTATTGGAACAATGGAGGCACAATATATTGCAGTGGACTTTCTCAGCGGCAGATTCTGATTGATATAGACCAGGTAGACTACAAAAATAATGTGTTTTTTTTTTGGGGGGGGGGAGAGGGGAGAGGATTATGAGTTAGAACATATTTCTCCTAGTGAAAATGATTACCCTTGAATAAATTGGGTCAGAACAATGCAAAAAGGGTGCATTGCTATAACTGTTGAGATAAATACACTGGGTGTCATGTATAAAAAAGGTCTGATCTTCAAAGGGGCAGAGTCGCCGTTTGTGCTGTTTCCATGGTTACTGACCCACTTTTAGTAGTTTAGACCTTTTCAGAACACAACACTTTTTATATGGGTCTTCACACATATTCTATTTAGATATATAATAAACATTTCTTTTTTGTACAACATGAAATTATGGTGACTGACCAACTGACGCAGCCTGGGCAGGCGGTTGTTCTACACACAGACACAAAAAAACCAAAACAACATAATTATGAGAAGGCTTGTGACTGCGAGAGCAGGGTAACTGCAATGCATTAATATTAAGTGCTTTCATACACCCATTGAAACAGTATTTCAAATTTAAGCCAAATAGCTGAGCTGAAAATATCTGGCTTGGCTGTGTAGCTTTACTTTTAATAATTCACAGTTTAATGAGTTAGGCCTTTTGAGATGCCCTCTATTAAAAATATAAAGTTTGATGAGTCAATCCACCGAGTTACTATTGGGATATGTTTATGCCCTTGTTTCATTTATTTAACCCCTTAAGGACACATGACATGTGTGAGATGTCATGATTCCCTTTTATTCCAGAAGTTTGGTCCTTAAGGAGTTAAAAAAATGTTTGATGCGGGGTAGAGCTTGACTGCTGGTCGGATCAGACATACCTTGTCTGAGGTCCTTCATCGGGTTCTGAAAAACTGGGCCAAATGCTCATTCTGACCTTAAATAGTGCTCACCCTTCTAAGCTGCCGATGGTGTACCCGAGGATACCCTACACAAGCGTGCTCTGCTCTGGGTTACCGGAACAGGGCTTGTGACCTACTCAAGCTTAAGCTGAGGAGAGACAGCTGCTCTCCCAGATCTTTGATTGACGCATGGCTGTCCGTTCCCCCTCTGGACCACTGGGGGTTATCCCGGTTGCTGGTGAACCACAT